TGCCCGGGGTGGTGGGCTTGATCTCCAGTGCGGGGCGTGCAGGAGGCAGCCCATCCATGATTCACTCTCATCATTGATGTTTCTATCTCCCTCTCCCTTCCTCTCTGAAGTCAATAAAAATGTAATTAAAAAATAAATTCAAACAGAGAGAGAGCAGAACCCAAGTGCAAACAGTCAGAGGAATCTAAGCAAGTGGAGTGTGTGGGGGGGGGGGGGGGGGGTGTACAAGGGGGCGGGGATCATGATGAGTCCCCACCCACCTGGCTGCAAATTCCTGGGCCAGGCTCCCTGGGGGAAGCCAACTACCAATGGAAACACGGTCATGAGGGCCTGCTGTGTGCCAGGCACCGTGCTAGACGCTTGGAATTCAGCAGCCATGAGCAAAGCCATCAAGATCTCTGTCCTCGTGGGCTGGCGGCCTAGTGGGAGGCGACAGAGGGGGAAGGAAGTGTGCAGATGATACACCAGGGCAGGCAATGCTAAGAGCCAGGAGGATGGGAATGGGAGGGCAGCCGTTCTGAGGTCTGGGAAGGTCTTGAACAGAGATCGAAAATAAAGGAGGGAGCCTCTGGGCGTGGCCACGCCTTTTCCAGGTGAGGGGACAGCATGTGCAAAGGCCCTGAGGCTGGCAGCGTTTGGGATGTTTGAGGCCCAGCAAGCAGGTGAGGGTGTCTGGAGCGGAGTGAGAGGGGGACTGTGTGGACCATGTAGGGCCTCAGAGGTCATGGCCAGGACTTTTGAGCCAAGGGAACCATGGGGGCCAGGGGAGTGTTTGGGGCAGGAGACGGGTGCGAGCTGCCTCGCACTGAGCAGGGTCCCTCTGGCTGCCGTGTGGGGAACACAGTACAGAAGGCAAGGCCGGAAGCAGAGACCGGCCATGCGTCTACGGCGATGGTCCAGGCGGGAGACAGGCAGTGGCTTGGACCGGGGAGGATGGGTGCCTGGGAGAGGAAGGGTCCGAGGCGGGCTGTGTGTGAAGGTAGGGGTGTGAGGGAAGAAGTGAAGCCACATTTGGGGGTTGGGGGCACACGCTGCGGGAAGGACGGAGCTTCCAGTCACCGCGACAAAGAAGCCTTGAGGAGGAGCGGGCTCGGGTGGGGACAGGTCGGAGCCGTGCTTTCGCAGAACTAAAGGTTGAGAAGGTGCCGAGAAGGAAGCTGCCGAGGGGGCAACAGGACACACGCGCCTGGCTCTCAGCAAGGAAGATGTGGCGGGAAATGACCCACTTTATTTTTATTTATTTTTATTTATTTTTTATTTATTTTATTTTTTTTTTAATATATTTTATTGATTTTTTTTTTTTGCCCCACCTCTTTCCCTCCCATACATACCCTCCCTCCCCAGAGTCTTATGTCCATTGGTTGTACTTATATGCATGTACACAAGTCCTTCGGTTGATCTATTATCTCCCCCAGATCTTCCTCTCCTCCCCACTGTAATTTGACAGTCTGCCTGTTGATTTACTGTCTCTATATCTGTCTCTTGGTTCATCAGTTTATAATGTTCTTTATCATCCACAAATGAGTGAGGTCATGTGGTGTTTCTCTTTCATTGATTGGATTATTTCACTCAGCATGATGTTCTCCAATTCCATCCAGGTTGCTGCAAATGATGAGAATTCTTTCTTTTTTATGGCAGCATAGTATTCCATTGTGTAGATGTACCATAGTTTTTGGATCCAATCATCTGCTGATGGGCACCTAGGCTGTTTCCAAATTCTGGCTATTGTAGATTGTGCTGCTATGAACATAGGGGTGCATATATCCTTTCTGATTGGTGTTTCTAGTTTCTTGGGATATATTCCTAGAAGTGGGATCACTGGGTTGAATGGGAGTTCCATTTTCAGTTTTTTGAGGAAACTCCACACTGTTCTCCACAATGGTTGCACCAGTCTGCATTCCCACCAGCAGTGCACGAGGGTTCCTTTTTCTCCACAACCTCACCAACACTTGTCGTTTGTTGATTTATTGATGTTGGCCATTCTGACCGGTGTGAGATGGTACCACATTGTTGTTTTGATTTGCACCTCTCGGACAATTAGTGACTTTGAGCATGTTTTCATGTGCCTTTTGGCCTGCCTTCTGTCTTCTTTTGAAAACATTCTATTTAGGTCCATTGCCCATTTTTTAATTGGATCATTCATCTTCCTTTTATTTAGTTGTATAAGCTGTCTGTAAATGTTGGAGATTAAACCTTTATCGGTGGTATTATTTGCAAATATGTTCTCCCACACTGTGGGCTTTCTTGTTGTTTTGTTGATGGTTTCTTTTGCCGTAAAAAAGCTTTTTATTTTGATGTAGTCCCATTTGTTTATTTTCTCTTTAGCTTCCATTGCCCTAGGGGCAGTATCAGTGAAGAAGTTCTTTTGGCATACGTCTGAGATTTTGCTGCCTGTGGATGCTTCTAGTATTTTTATGTTTTCCCGTCTGATGTTTAAGTCCTGTATCCATTTTGAGTTTATTTTTGTGAATGGTGTAAGTTGGTGATCTAGTTTCATTCTTTTGCATGTGTCTGTCCAATTTTCCCAACACCATTTATTGAAGAAACTGTCTTGACTCCATTGTATATTCGTGCCTCCTTTGTCAAATATTAATTGAGCATATTGATTTGGGTTGATATCTGGGTTCTCAGTTCTATTCCATTGATCTATATGTCTGTTCTTGTGCCAGTACCAGGCTGTTTTGAGACAGTGGCTTTGTAATATAGTTTGAAGTCTGGTATTGAGATCCCTCCTACTTTACTCTTCTTTCTCAGGATTGCTGAGGCTATTTGGGGTCTTTTATTGTTCCAAATGAACTTTTGGAGAGTTCTTTCTAGGTCAGTGAAATATGCCGTTGGTATTTTAATGGGGAGTGCATTGAACCTATAGATTGCTTTAGGAAGTATGGACATTTTGATGATGTTGATTCTACCAATCCATGAACATGGTATGTTCTTCCATCTCCTTACATCTTCCTCTATCTCTTTTTTCAGTGTCGTATTTTTCAGTGTCGTATTTTTATTTATTTTTAAAACATATTTTATTGATTTTTTTTTTACTGAGAGGAAGAGAGAGGGATAGAGAGTTAGAAACATCAACCAGCCGCCTCCTGCACAACCATCACTGGGGATGTGCCCGCAACCAAGGCACATGCCCTTGCCCAGAATCGAACCTGGGACCTTTCAGTCCGCAGGCCGAGGCTCTATCCACTGAGACAAACCGGTTTTGGCACTTTAGAATCATCAGGGACAAGGCAGTGTTTGTCGTGATGGTTCCTTTTATCAGCCCCACAAGGAAGGCCTGCTTGTGCCCACTTTAGAGATGGGGACAGGGAGGCACAGAGACGCTGAGTCACCTGACTGTCGCCACAGAGCTGGGAAGTCAGGCAGTCAGGGCCTGAAATCAGGTCAGCCTGCCTGCCTCCCAGCCCCGGGCCCAGCCCACACCCTGTGCTCTGCGGTTCCTCTCACCAAACCCTCCCCGCAGCCCAAGGTGAGAGGGGCAGGGTGAGTCACAAACCGGCGTCACCTTCATTTGCGAGGTGGGGAGGAACCACGGAAACCCAGGGGGCCCTAAGGGACTTGCCCGCAGCCGAGGAGCGGGCGGGCCTGCCATCTTCCGAGGGAGTGCCACGTGGGCACAGCCGGAGACAAGTCCTGCAGCCTGGGCGTGGGGCTATGTCTGCTAAACCCGGTGTCCCCTGGAGCCGTGCCATCTGAGAGCACCTGGAGATCTGGGAGCCCGGGAGCAGGGCCAGGAGTGAAGCCTCGGTGCCCTCGTCTTTGAAATGGGGGCGTGGGCATCCGCCCGGCTGGGTGACCGTGCGTTTTTTTACGTTCTTTTCGAATGAGCACTCAGCACGGGGTCCCCCAGAGAGCCTGTCAGCGAGTGTTTCTGAAAGGAAGGAGCAAAGGAACGAACAGAGGAAGGAAAAAACACATCAGCGGACCCAGGAATGGGCCAGGGCAGGGATAAGCAGAAAGGCCCGAGGGAAGTGAGAAGGAATCCACGTCTGAGCTAACGAACCCACCCTTACGGTCAGCCAGTGCCTGTGAGCCCCGACTGGGGTGGGTGCTGGGGGGTACAGCCGCGAATAAAACAAAGTCCCTGCGTTGTGGCGGGGGACACTCCAGCCAGAGGAGGCAGGAAGCAAGAGGAGGAGGTCAAAGAGGAAGTATCCCAGGCGGAGAAAAGGGAGGAAGGAGGAGAGAAGGGAAGGAAAATGAGGACAGGGGCGCACATGTACAGTGGGATGGTGGTGAGTGGAGGAACGGCCATGCTTGGACGATGGAGTGAGGGCGGGGGCGAGAGGAAATGCAGGTGTGAATGAGCATGGTAGCTGACCGCGGGTGGGCGTGGGTGAAGGGACCCATGGAAGGGCTGCTGAATGAGGGACCTGAGGAATGGATAAATGTGTGGATTAGGGCAGGAAGCAATGAATGTGCTAGCAGTGTTTCCCAAACTTGTGACATATGTGTACCCCTTCTATAATTTTTGTAATGCTGAGTACCCATCGTACTCATGAGAACATAGAATCAGGCGCAGCTAAGCACGGTGCAGTGCATATCCCCACCAAACTCCGGTGCAACGCGTACCCCCACCAAACTCTCCCCGTACCCCTGGGGGTACGCGTACCACACTTTGGGAAGCACTGCACTAAGGGTAGAAGGACGGGATGAATGAGTGAACTAATGAGGGTCTGCATGCCACCCATGTGTCTGCATGGATCTCTGCCCTCAGGGGTGCTGACTCTGCCTGACCTTGCCTGGGCTGCCCAACCCCAATCCCAACCCACACCCCACCCCAGGGCCGTGCCTGGGTGGCCCCTGGGAGGGGGAGGGAGCCTGCCTGTCCTGCCCTCGCCCTGCCTGGCTGCCCTGCATCGGGTGCTGCCCTGACCCCACCTTTGTGCACCCTCCTCCCCGCCCTGCACTTCATCCTCCCACCTCCCTGTGCGGCCCCTCCAGCCCTCTGAGCATCCCTCGCCCCGGGCCTGACTCCCTCTCCCCTTTGCGCGCAGGCACCATGCGGCCCGTGCGGCGCAACTTCTACGACCCGTCGTCGGCGCCTGGCAAGGGCATCGTGTGGGAGTGGGAGAGCGATGGCGGCGCCTGGACGGCCTACGACATGGACATCTGCATCACCATCCAGAACGCCTACGAGAAGCAGCACCCCTGGCTGGACCTGTCGTCGCTAGGCTTCTGCTACCTCATCTCCTTCGGCAGCATGTCGCAGATGAACCGCCAGACACGCCGGCGCCGCCGGCTGCGCCGCCGCCTGGACCTGGCCTACCCGCTCACCGTGGGATCCATCCCCAAGTCGCAGTCGTGGCCCGTGGGCGCGGGCTCGGGCCAGCCCTGCTCCTGCCAGCAGTGCCTGCTGGTCAACAGCACGCGCGCCGCCTCCAACGCCATCCTGGCCTCGCAGCGCCGCCGGGCGCCCCCGGCCGCCGCGCCCCCGCCGCCCCCCGGGGGCCCGCCCGCCGCCGTGCGCCCCAGCGCCACCTTCGCGGGCCCCGCACTCTGGGCCGCGCCCACCGCCAGCCCCGCCGAGCCCGCGCCGCCCTCCTCCGGGGCGCCCCCGCGGAGCCCCAGCGCCCCCGGCGGCGCGCCCGCCCCGGGACTGAACAACCTCAACCGGCCCGGACCCCAGCGCGCCTCCAGCGGGAGCACCCGCGCCTCCATCCCGCCCGGGTAAGACACCTCCCTCTCTCCCCCCTGGCGCAGGCCTGGCCGCCCAGAGGACAGGTGCAGAGAATGACTATCACAGTAACAAGCGTAAGCAGTATTTAGCATCTATTTTTTTAATATATTTTATTTATTTATTAAGTATATTTTATTGATTTTTTACAGAGAGGAAGGGAGAGGGATAGAGAGTTAGAAACATCGATGAGAGAGAATCATCTATCAGCTACCTCTTGCACACCCCACTCTGGGGATGTGCCTAAAACCAAGGTACATGCCCTCGACCGGAATCAAACCTGCATCCCTTCAGTCCACAGGCCGATGCTCTATCCACTGAGCCAAACCGGTTTTGGCAATATTTAGCATCTATTAAGTATTCGCTTTTTGTCAGGCCCTCACTAAGCGCCTTCATGCGTTTCCACTTGTTTATCTCCGCGCACAGAGGACCCTGTGCGGTAGGTACCGTTCGCTCGCCGTTACAGGTGAAGACCCTGGAGGGGGAGGGTCTGTAACTTCAGGGATCACGCAGTTCGCAAGTGGTAGGCCTGGAGCAATGATAATAAGGGCACGCCGTCCGTGTTTGTTTGCTGAGCTTGGTCTGCATCGTCTCGTTTGCTGCTCCAGCTCATCCAGTCGTGCCCACGAGACAGACGGAGAGGCTGAGGCCGGGAGGGGTGTGGCACCTGCTGCGAGTCCCCCAGGTGGAGAGCGGGGTGGACACGCAGGCCTGGAGGGTCCAGAGTCTGTGTTGTTAGATGGTTTCCACCCCCAGCCCGGTCCGTGCCCATCTCAGGGGAAGGCTCCAGCAAGCACCCGCCACTCACCCCAAACAGTTCCCCAGAGGCCACACCTGAGTTATCACTGTGGCTTTGGGCTAATCCTGTGGTTTGCAAACTGGGTTCCAGGGACTCCGGGGGTGGCCAGAGACAGTGGCAGGAGAGGGTGACGGATCAGGAGAAATCACACCCAGGAACCAGCCTCTGCTCTTGTTTTAACCAAAATGGCCCTTTTTGGGGGGATCTTTGATGAACTGGCAGGATTTCCCAGTGGATGTCATCGAGGAAGGGGAACCCAGGTCAGACCAAGATTGGGAATTCCTGCGTTAAGGCATCCAAGCCCAGGATGGGGGCCCAGTGAGCCTGTCTCAGCAGAGGACCATGCCCTGAGGGAGTGGGAATGAGAGCCAGGAGCCATGACCTTGACCTCGGGACAGCCCAGAAGGGAAAAGACCAGGTGGCGTTTGGATCCTGATGCCCAAGAGGAAGGGCGGGCACTGCTTGTGTCGCTGTGGCATGGCTCCAGGGACTGGCCGTGACAGCCTAAGACCAGCAAAGGCCACATCTGGATCCAATCTTTGAGGCCACCTCCTCCAGACCTCCCATTTCACCAAGGGAAACTGAGGCCTTGAGAAGGGAAAGGGACCCCAACGTGAGACGGGCTTCTGTCCTCTTGAGAGCCTGCTCAGGTTCAGGTCCCCTCTGGGCTGCTTCGGGGCGGTGAGATCTGGGCCTCGCCCTTCCCCTTCGTCAAGCCTCAGTTTCACCATCTGTGAAATGGGAGCAGGACTCCCCACCCTGTGGAGAGGCTGTGACCCTGAACATGGCATCTGCACCCGCAGCCGTCCGGCAGTGACAGGGGACTGTTTTTGTTATCCGGGAGGAAGGTGGGTGTAGGGGGGGGAGGGTAGCGGAGGCCGTAACTTTCCATGGGAAGATTGCAGCTGCCACCTGCCTGCCTCGCCCTTCCCTTCCCCGCCCAGCCCCTCCTCTGGGGCAGGCCCGGTGCCAGCAGACGGGAGACCTCAGGAGGCCGGGGACTGGGGTGTTGGTTGTGGCTCCCTGTCCTCAGCACCTTGGCTCCGGCTCCTGAGGGAGAGGAAGGGCTGGGGGGCCCCAGATCGACAAGAAGAGTGGATGGCCAGCTGGGGTGGGGGTTGGAGGGGGCAGAGCAACGGAAGGTCCAGGGACCTCGGCAGCAAGAACCGGGAACTTCTTCTCTTTGGGGCTGCATTGTGCCCGCACGGGCGGATTATGGGATTGGGATGGAATGGCATGGAGTAGAGTGGAGCAGCGAACACGGGTCTGTGTGAGCGTAGCCATAGTGTAAAAGGTGACCAGACGTCCCGCTTTTGGCGGGACAGTCCTGACTTTTAACAATTTGTCCCGCATCCCGTGGCATTTTTAAAAAGTCCAGATGCTTTCCAAAAATTGGGACTTTTTTAAAACGCCTCAGGACGCGGGGCCAATTGTTAAAAATCGGAGCATCTGGTCACCTTACCAGTGAGAACGGCTCCGGAGCCTTTCGCATCATTGCTGCATTGCTCCAGGGGCTGCCCGGTGAAGTGAATCTCTTATCCCTGAGAAACCGGGGAAAGCCGCAGTTTGAGAGCAGGCTGGGGATTATCGGCTTTTATTGGGCGATATTAATCCTTCACGTGTGGACCGTAGTGCAGGTTCACAGAGCACACCGGACAAACAGGGTCCAGGCTGGTGGGGAGACAGGCAGAGAGCAGGTAAACGCGGAAAGGAACACAATCCCTGGAGAGAGGGGGGGCGCTGGGGAGGGAGTGAGAGGGGAGCAGTGCTGCTGAGGGGGATGGGCGGTCAGGGCAGACCCCTGAGGAGGCAGCCAGCTCGGAGAAAGGCTGTTCCCCACAGAGGGAACAGCGGGCAGGACGTCAGAGGCACTAGAAGGCCATGGCTGGTTCGGGGAAGGGCTGGACGTGAGCGGGGGCGGTGTCAGAAGGGGAAGGCGCTGTGAGAGCAGAGGGTGGCTGTGGGGCTGCAGGTCCGGGCACCTCACGGAGCTAGAGGTTCCTGCTGGGACCTCAGGAGCTGAGATGTTTCCACATGGAACCACAGAGCCAGGTTGGGGGCGTGGTGCTGCCGGCAGTGGGAGCCGCAGAGTGTGCTGGAGCTCACGGGGCTGTGAGGAGAGAAGGATGGCTCCTGAGGGCGCTGATCATAACGCATGTCCCCTAGAACTTACCAGAACTCCGTTCTCCTCATCCACATGCCCCTACCCTGCTGTATCCTTCCGTCCATCCGTCCTCCTCCTCCTCCTCCTTCTGGGAGCTGTTTGTGACCTGAACACCAGACAGGACTCCCTCACCCCGCCCTGGCCTGGCAGAGCTGCCCAGTGTCCCCGACGCCCCTCCGGACTACCCTCCCCAGCCAGACAAGCCGCGTGCAGATCCCCCAACCCTCATCTCCAAGGAACGCCAGTTAAAAATACTCCTGGCTCAGAGTGGGGGGTGGGCAGGACCCGTGAAGCCTGCTACCGTGAGGGGAGGGAGAGGAAGGCGGGGGGGTGGGGCAGAACCTGGTCCCCCCCACCTGCAGCGTCCTGTTGCCAAGGCATCAGAGGCCCAGGTTCGGCCAAATGAGGGGATAGGGATGGGGTCTCTGAGGAGCCAGGCAGCCAGGCCTCCCACCCCCACCCTGGTCCCCAACACCCTACCCCCACCCCCAGTCCTCACAGCCCCGCCCACGGCCTCACCTCTGGGCCCTGGTGTCCAAATGTCCTTCTATAAGGACACAGGGCCCACCCGAGGGACCCCATCTCACTTCTGCAAGGGCCCCGCCCCACAGTGTCTAGGGTAGGGGTGTCGAACTCAATCAGAGAAGGGGCCAAAATCTAAAATCCAGCCTAAATCGCGGGCCGAATGGTTTACTGAACAGTCATAAACTGTCATTGTGATGGAAACGCAGCGGAGTGCAGTGATGACAGCGCGGTGCGGGCCACATTGCAAGGCCTGGCGGGACGGATTTGGCCCGCGGGCCTTGTGTTTGACACATGTGGTCTAGGGCCTGGGATCGGAGGTTAGTGAGAGAGGCCGGGACCGCCATGCACCAGGGACAGCCTCGGTGACTCTCCCAGCGGAGTCTGGTCTCTTCCCCTCCCGTCTCCCTGGCTCTGTCTGCCTGTCTGTGTCTGCTGCTCCTTCCCTCCTGCCGCCGTTTCCTTCTCAGCTCCTTCTCCCTTTCCCTGCTCCCTGCTCTCACCCTCCCTCTCTCCCGCGCGGGACTCACACACACCCAGAGTCCAGTTTCACCCCTTCCTGTCCCCGCTGGGCGACCCTGCGCACCCAGCTTTCCCTCCCTGGCCTCCGGGCCCCCCTCTGCCGAACGGCTGGAAACGCGGCGTGGCCAGCGTGGAACGGAGTGGGCTCTTCGGAGCGCTCTGAGCCCGTCCTCATCCCACCCTCCCCTCAGCCCTGGGTGGGCCGCAGCCTGGAGGCCCAGAGACGGCCACTGCCTTGGCCCAGGCTGCACAGCCAGAGGGGGGAGTGCCTCCAGGGCCCGGGTTTTTCCACTCGCCCCTGGGCGGGGGCGGGGGCGGGGAGCCAGCTGGCGGCCGGGCCTGGGGGACAGCAGGGGTGGGGAAGATCCGCCCTGTCCCCCGAGAGGGCAGCGTCCAGCACTCTGGAACACAGCTGTGGGCAGACTCAGAGTTTCCACCCCACGCGGTGGAGCGAGGGAGGGGGGAGGGAGAGGGGGCAGCTGCAGGCCTGTTTTTCTGTGCTGAGCGCTCACATGTCGGCCCAGCCTCGTGCGTGCGGCTGGGACACGCGATCATGCGATCGCCTCTCTCGGTTCCCGCCTTGTGGGAGGCAGGTCCTGTGACCCCCGTGTGGCATGCCAGGAAACGGAGGCTCACACAACGAGGACTCTGATTCAGAATCCCCCCTCAGGGTATTGGGGTGTCCCGCCCTCCTGCCTTCCCCTCTCCACATTTCGAGCCGTGGTCCCCAAGCCACCCCCAGCCCCCGCCACAGCCCTGATTCCAGGGGGTGTCGGCCCCGGAGCAGAGGCTGCGTGTGGGCCCAGCTTCCACATCTCCTCTCCCTGAGCCCAGTGGAGCCCATGCCTCTCTGGCCCTCAGCTTTTGCACCTGTGGGGTGGGGCGGGCAACCCGTCCTTGTCCGGCTTGAGGCCACATGTCGAAGTGGCCATCTTTTTTATTTATTTATTTTATTTTATTTTATTTTTAAAGAAGGGAGAGGGATA